TGAGTCTTGGTGAATCTTCAAAATTACATTCCAAGTTTCACATCCCAGAACTCAAAGAATTTAATTTCCTTGGATTTTAGTGGTTTTAGTAGGATTGTAGTGTTTTAAAAAATTAACATGGCTCATTTCATACCAAAACTATCAAAGTGGTTAACACAGTTTTCAAATAGGAAAATTGGAGGCCAACTGCAAAAAAAAAAGGGGGGAAGGGAATGGTAAAAAATTATAATTGTGCTTTTATTTCATTCTTATTTTTACCTTTCAAGTTCACAGTGATGATGTTATTATCTCCAACAAGGTATCCACAAGGCAGCAGTTCAGGCACTTCTAGGTTATGGGATCTAATTAAATCTCCTATACAGTAGCTAGCAATGCAGTCAGAGCTCAGACCAAGGCTAGTGGAAGTATCAATTCGGAACACATATTCCTAAAATGGTACGCACAAAAAAAGTAAAGTCAAAACAGAGGTTCAACTCAACTATAACAAATACAAAACTCATGGTAATATAAAACTAGCTGTCAATTTTAGAAATGTTTAACATAAGAACTATCAATATCAAACACCACAGAGGGAGAAAGCTTTCGTGATTTGAAATTTGAGGAGATAAAAAGCAGATGTGTCTACACACTATTGAAGTAAAGCTGCTGAAAAAAAACACACGTGAAACTTAATATCAGCATATCTTGCACAACTTACCTTAAAGAGACGTCTAATTACACTATCTAAGACATCCCACTTGGTTTTTCCACTAACACCAATGGACCCTATCAAATACGTCTGGGACTTCTGATCCTAAATAAAAACAAAATAAAGTAAGATAAAATCCAACTGTGTATTTTATTTAATTAGCACATTTTTATATCAAAACCTATTAATGTAGTTGGAGATTAAGACCAAAATATTTACTAAGCCTATGAGTTCTATAGCAACCAACACACCTGGTGGCTTAAAGAAAATAAAACACATCCCAGAAAACCAACCAAAGAGAAAAACAAAGTAACAGCAACAGCAACAAGAAAGAAAGAGATGACATGAACCGTATGTCAAGGAAAACTGATTCATGACCTGTTCAGTAGAAGGGAAAGGGGAATGGGACCTCAGAGAATAGTCTTGCATTTTAATGCAGTGGGGGGACATTCTGGAATAGAGGTGGCTTGGTAAGAGGGAAATAATGAGAGAGAGAATGGAACTATATCATACGAATCCTAGAACTTTGACTTACTATTTTGTGATCTTATCTTTGATAAGTCCGTAACTCAGTTTTTTTATTTATTAATTTTAAT